ATCGCTGATTTGTGTCCTGAAATTACCTCTGGATCTTCTTTCTGCGGCCTTTGGGTTAAGGAGACAAGCAGAAACGACTTACTTACTTACTTAGTTGAGATTTAGAAGCAGGTAAAACAAGAAAGGACACACACTCACACAGAACGCATTGCCAACCTTGTTATTGTTATCTTTGTGTATCATTCAGCATCACGCAGCACAGGCACTGGTGAAAAAAACTAAGATATGCAGTGGTCACATCTTTCATCAGGCTCATTAGTATCTCTTTATTCATCTTAAGTTGCTGAATTTGTAGCAATACCACAAAGCTTGTGAAAATCTCTTATGGTCAGACAGTCACACTGGACAACAGAGTGAGGGGTGAAAAAGTGCCCTCCTCTAAAAAGAGTGTGCAACACTCCAATTAAGTGATGTGCAGATTGAGACTAGCTGTGTCCCAAAACGTCGGCTGCATCCTTCGGAGGCCGCATTTGAAGGCCGATGACTTCACAGCCAGGCGACGAAGGCTGTCCCAATTCATCAACTCCTTCAAATGCGGCCGACAAATGCGTTCTTCATTTCCCAGAATTTGAAGGATGGGTCGGGTGTGTCCTTCGTGGCCCACCATATCCCAGAATTCATAGCGCGGCCCAGCCAATTCCAGTTTCCAACAATGGCGGCCGCTACTAAGTTTTAATATTACTCTTATTAATTTTTCTGGGTCACAAGATAAACTTTGAACATATTTTCAGGCGAGAAAGTAACCATTTAAACTTCAAATATCTGCTTGGTTTATCAAGACATCGCATATTTTTCAAAAGTGCTCTGACGTTTTCGGAGACGTCTGTTACCCACTAGCTCGATAGCTAACCGGGTGTTTTCGCTGTCTTTCGCTACTCGGGTTAAACATGATATATAAGTCACTTGGATAACTTAAAAATGTAATTGTTTGGCTTTTTTTGGTGTTTTATTTGTTCCGGAGTAAATCGGTTTAGCAGAGATCAAAGTGATTAGATGAGATAAAATAAAACTTTATTAATCCATCAGGTGGGTTCCTCCAGGATTTTCACACAGCTGAATAAACGTCAAACAGAAAATTGATTAAACAGAAGTGTGAGACGGTCGAGAATTTACGCCACTGTCCAGTTGTATTATAGATATCAAGGAGCAGACGGCTGAGTTTATTAAACTCTACCGAGACAGCGGTGACGCAAATCTGAAGGCTAGACTGTCCCATTTCACAGCCTCGCCTTCTCGGTCTTCGAAGGACCCGGCTCACGTAGACCGCGAAGGCCGGGTCCTCTGAAGGGTGCGGCCTACATTTTGGGACACAGCTACTGTGTTACCCAGAAGGCATCAACAATGGAACCCTGACAGCAGCTGTTTAAACAACTAGTCTAGTGAGGCTTGAGAAATTGATTATGTTTTTCAGTTATCTGTGATTTGTCTGGTCATTTTTACACATGATAAACATCTGCATGACTCTACAAACATTGAAAACAGGGAAAGCTTATATAAATCACTCAAGGCATTCCCTTGCTGAGAGGTTTAATTCCTTTACTAGCCCTGATATTATCAAAAATACTGTGGCTGATAGCTGTCAACATGTTCTAGACCTGAGAACAAAGCTACACACATTCGGGAGGTTGTCACAGGAGAATTTGCTCCAGGCCCAGGACCATCAGCAGCAACTGTAACAACACAGGGGCTAGGGGCCCCTTTGTGGTCATAGTGAGTAGGTGTTGCAGTTTATTCTTCTTGACCTCACCAATCCATTTGATATCCCAGCTGGAGAAGAAGGGTCAGATGAGGCTGGAGGTTATTTCATCACAGCTTTATTACCAATGCGCACTGGGAGACCTCTCTACATGCAGTCACAGCAAGCATCAAGTGGATCTGAGGACCCGTCCTCATACACACACCTATGTTACTATAGTGATACTATAGGTAACTGTTGTGGCTTAATGTTTACCTAGCTGAGGTAGCTTTTACTCCGCTTAGCTTTAAGGTCACATGAAATGCTTTGAGAATAAATGTCCACAGGGGTGACAACGTCATCCCAACAAAACACACACTTACGAATCATTTCTTGTTCTTCTGATCTCCAGCCACACCCTTTTATCTAAGCAAACCTAAACACATTCTATTCTAATCGTTGTTTTATTCTACTCACATAGGGGATGTTGACTATGAAGTGGTGCGGTCAGACAGGGCTAGAGCCACAGATCATTTTTCCCCTCCACCTGGTTGCACCACACTCATAGAGCACCATTTTGATACCCGTTCCGGAGTGTTCACACCCCTATAGATTACCTGAGCATAAAAGACACATTGGTTAGTCAGAGTCCAAGTAACAGCCTTCTCCCCTATGTACACTCTGTACCAATTTGTCACACTTCTGTTAGGCATGTTTGGAGCCCCTGTCATTTTCTAGCATTTCATGAACTAGGTTTGGACGGAGGGAGGTATAGCAGCTGGGGTACCACGCAGGAGGTAGGCAGGTACACCCCCAAACAGACAAAACAGGGGTTGACTGTCCTGTTGTCTACCTCAGCTAGAAATTGTCAGACGGAGAAACCAGGTACAGCACCAGGTAGAAAAAGAAAGCCTGGCCATCCAGTGGGTAGTTGACTCCCTTTGTGATTATCTCCTGGGGCATCCATTCACCCTCTGTTCAGCTCATGCACGGCTGAAAGATGCCAAGACCCAGAACACCCACTGGTGTCTGGCTCTCCAGTCTTTTAAGTGCAACGTGGTGCAGATGGTCGCAGCTAGACCTAGAATAGGAAGGGAGCTGAGACCACATGGTTCTGCGTGAGCAGTAACCTGCAGTGAGAGACAGTCGGTGATTACAGCCTGGAAAGGCTGAAATTGGAATATACTATTATATATACTACTATATACTACTATAACTATGCATAATTTTTCCGAGATTTCTGTTGGGACATGATCATCTGAGCTCCTCACACCACCAAACCCACCGTCCCCTCCCCACCTACTGCCCCCCCTTCAATTCCTCACATTTTCTATTTTTATTTCTCTCGAGTCTTGCTCTTAGAAATATTAAATGAATGTACGATATCATTATTGGATATGGATTTGTGACTCGAGTATATGGATACTAGATTTAAAAAGGGAAATTGTACACTTAATTAAACTAAAAACATGAGTTCTGCAAGAAAACCTGACAAGATGGAATTTAAAAAGTATTTTTTCCGGTTTCAGTGAGTAAAAATCTATAAAAGAAAAACAGTCGAAAGATCCTATGCAGTGTTTTGGTTGCAGAACTGTGTAACTGACATCTGCTAATTCATGAAACATGAAAAGGCAAGTTTCTCCTGTAGGCCATTGCACACACAGTGACAGTTAAGAAAACAACTGTAAGAACACAAGCAAAGTGAAAACATTGTTCAAGCATGTTCAGTCAAAACCTTTTGACCCTTTTAACTCCACTGGCATCACCTCTCCTTAGCTCGGTATTCCCATGTAGAGAGTGAGGAGGTGAGAAATATATCAGCTATCAACTCTGGTTTTAGACTAACATATTCAAACCTATTCCTCGTGATTCCTTGTAGGAAATAAAAAACTTTCAACAATAAAACTGAAGGTATAAAAATACATTTTTAAATTAAATTTGTTCTTATCTTCACTAGAAAAAATCCTTTTTGCTCTACATCCATATGTCCATATGAACAGAATCAACCTTTTGGGATTTCCTTTCCTGTGCGACTCAGCGTGCATCAAGTCATATGCTGTTAAAAGTTTACTGAAAAATATACACCCTAAACCAGGTCTGCCATCAGGATTACATGACAATAAAGTGTGAAAGATGAGGGAAAAGGAATATGAAAATACAGTTGTAACCAAAAAACAGACACTTGTTGTTACTGCTGAGTAAATTTTATTGTGGATCTTTCCTGAAAATCAGGTTTAGAAGTTCTGCTGAGTCACGGTGAAGTCAGTAGCATTGTTGGCCCTTTCATCTCCGGTGAAACCTATCCAATAACTGTGTCATTTACGGTCTGTGTTTTTCCACTCACTGCAGTAATGGATTACCTATAACATAATAATTTAATTGCAATGTAACTTCTGGTGTGTACTGGTCTGCTGGGGCTACTGCTCAAAGACATGCAACTCACCACCCTGGGCTGAGCCCTTGTCTCTACAGGGAAAAACTGATATGTTTACCACATAAACAGGTTCTCAGCTGTTTTGGGGCTGAATCTTTTTCGATTTTTCCAGCCTATCCCCAGCAAACTTTTGTTTGTTTGGTTTGTTCTGCACACTGCCAAACAGTTCATTCAAAAATGAATATTTAAGTCAGTACAAGGTTTTTTTTTCCTTATTTAGAAAAAATAACGTTTATCAAGTTGCCATAGGGTGATTATGACTATTCGCAAGTCCATTTCCCGTTGCTTAATGCCTTTTAAATCAGAAAAAAACCATTTTGATGGTTTGCTTAGCAAAGAAAAGAATCTCTACTGAAGTTTATTAGAAACTATTATGCATGTCATATACTGTGACATTGACATTTATCCCCCGCTCTCGCTCTTTCTTTGCTGAGTTAATGAAGCTCACCTAGCAGTCTTTCTTTCTAATCTTTGTGACATCAATCATATTGAGGAGAAAGAAGAGGACGATAGACTATTTATTATTTATCTGCTATTTGGATCTTGTTATATTCTGGTCTCATTCACATCTTGTAAACAATAATTCACATTATTACAGATCTCGGCGTTTAAGTGGGTTTTTCTATTCAATTCAATTTAATTTTAGTTATATAGCGCCAAATCACAACAGCAGTCGCCTCCAGGTGCTTTATATTGTAGATCGTACAATAATAGATACAGAGGAAAACCCAACAATCTTATGAACATATACTGGTCTTCCCAATTCACACCCCAAAAAACAATTCCATTTTCCTTTACACACGCGTGTGCTCTGGTTTGTAAAAATAGGAATCCCGTCTCCTCCTCCGCCTGAACACAGTAAGTCACCTTTGGAAACTCCATGGTCACGTGACGTGGGTGTATTTAATCACGGAATTTCAAAACATCTACCGTTTCTAAACTCGACATGCTGTCGAAACAGAAGTATCGAGCGTCGCACCCAGATTCACCTGCAGTGCTCCACCCTGCTCGTCGGTAGTACTGTGATACTCTGTTTTGCAGTTTTTCTTGACTACAGAGAGGAGTCGACTGGAAAATACTTTTGTTGCAATGGCTCTTCCTGTGTTGCTGCTGCTGTGCACTGCTCCGCTGGTCCGGGGCCACGGCTCAGGTGTGGTTATAGACAGCTGTGAAGACATGGAACTCCACCACTCTGGGCTGAGCCCACAGACTGCACCGTCACCCTTCACTGTCACTACAGAGCAAAGGCGCTACGGACTCGGAGAGGATGTCATAGGTAAGTAAACATGAGTGAGAGAAAGCTCGACGGCCGTTGGTATGTCACTCGATTCAGTGGTTTATAAGGAAATTAATTATTGGTGAAATTTGTAGTGTGTTTTGGAGGTGATTTTGTAGGAGATGGCAAACCAGCGTGTGAAATATGATAAGATAAGATAAGATAAAACTTTATTAATCCCTCGGGTGGGTTCCTCTGGGAAATTCGGTTTCCAAAAGCACAGCACCGACAGAAGTTACAGTTACAGAATATTATACACACACACACACACACACACATATATATATATATAAATATATCCAGCTATATTATCTATATATAATATATATATATATATATATATATATATATATATATATAATTTATATATATATATATATATATATATATATGCACACATATATATATATATATGACATATTATATATACACACATACATATACATACAGATAATATATAAACATAAAATTCGAAGGGATAAATAGAAAATAGGAATAAAAATACAAGTTACAATTTGGGATGTTTTTTGGAGATTAGCTTGTAATATAGTACAACTTTGTTTTGTGATCATCACATGACTGAAAACTGTCTGACTCTGAATAAAATGCAAACTGTTAATTGGGAGTTTGTTCTAGTTTATAGTAATAATACAATACAGATGACTTGTACTTTAAGGTATTTCTTCAGCAGTGTAAAACAGAATTGTTTTTTAGCTGGTGAGAATAAAAACTCAGTGGACCCTTTCTTTGGTCAGATTCCACCTCTTAACCAAAAAGAGTTGACAGTATTGTATCTCCTGGATGAGGGTGGGTGTGTGTGTGTGTGCGTGTTTCCGTTGACTAGGTTGGCTAGTGAATGAGTTTTACACTTAAATAAATTTTAAATTATATATTTAAAGTATTAATCTAATTTAAAAATGTATTATTTGTCTTTAAATCAGAAATTTTATGAAAGCATTGTGATAAGTATGGTTTGTGGCTTGGCTGCAGAGGAGGGCTGGAACAGCAGGTTCAGGGCATCTTGACAGGGGGAGGTTGGCAAAACAATATGCTTTCTCTATTTTAGTAACCGCTTGTACCGACATCATGCTGCTGAAGTGGGAAATGAAGCACAAGCATAAACAACATATACCCGAGTTGTGTTGGGTCCTTTCGTGTCATGGTCCTGAGTGTGGTGACCCAGTTTTTGTGTTTTGTGCTCGCCTCTGTCAGTGCGCCCCAGGGCAGCTGTGGCTACAATGTAGCTGCCATCACCAGTGTGTGAATGGTTGGATGACTGAATGTAGTGTAAAGCGCTTTGGGGTCCCTAGGGACTAAGTAAAGCAATATACAAATACAGGCCATTTATCATTTTGATTATTGATATTATTTTTATTATGTTTGATTACTCCCAGCTGTGCTCTCCTTCTGTGTGTCATTCCCTTGTTTCTCCCTTGTGTATGTAAGCCCTGTGTTTTCCTCTGCCTCTTGTCATGTTGTCCCAGTGTTTCTGGTTTCCATTGTTCCTATAGTCTTTCTGTTTCTAGTTATCCAGTGTTTAGTTCTTAGTTTCCATGTTCAGGGTTTTGGCTTGTTTATGATGAGTTTATTTTATGGAGTATTTTTCCCAGCATATAAAGCTGCTGCTTTAAGTTTCCTTTTCCGTGTACGAGTCCTGCATTTGGGTCCTTCATCCTGCCTGCCACACAGCCACACATGACATTTTGGATCATGTTGGAGCCCTAACCTGTGCAACCAACTGAGGCGCTTGGTCAGATTGTGATGCAGCTGGTGGCGACGCAACAGGAGCAGGCAGCAGTGCATCGCAAATGACTGGTGATGCTGCAGCCCCAAGTCGAACATCAGACAGAGGTGTTGGAAAACTCCCCCGCCATTTCCCCCATGACGCTTACCGGATGGTGGAGAAGGAACACCCCTAGGGTGTTTCTAGGGGTCTTTGTGGCTACAGAGGAGGCGTGCCGGTGGCTGGGTAAAGAGCGAACCCTCCGCTTGTTGCCGCTGCTCTCAGGGAAGGCCCAAGCTGTTGCTGTGAGCCTTCCCGCCACAGCGATGACAAATGATGTGATGGCTTGGCCTCCCAAAGATCATTGGCACTGCTTCTGGCATGTGGAGAAGCAACTGGCAAAGTGACTTCATGATGCCGCAGTCAGGTGGTTGCAGCCGTGGCTCTTCTGTAACTGGCCGGCGAGCCTCAATATTGTGGTGACATCGGCGCCACCCTTCCCCTGGTATAAGAGAGACATACTGGGTTCTGGTAAGGTACCAAGGGTGTACACGCCAGGTGCTGGTGGACCAAAGCATAGACAACATGTGCTGAGTCATGTCGGGTCCTCTCACAGTCTTAGTCGCGCCAGCTTTCTGGAGGTGTAAGTGTGATAGAAAGCGAAATGGCTGCCATTTAGCCCCAAGCAAGCTGCCTGATTTAAGCATTGTACCAGTCTAAGTTAACAGTTCATCAGTATATTTTAATGAAACTTTCGTAACTTACGGTAGATGTTTTTCTGTGTAAAACAAATGGCAGTGGATAAAGCAGCTACAAAGTTCACCTTTTTCCCCACGTTGGTGCTTGTTAAACAGGGAGACTGAAGGACTCGAGTAAAGGTTTTAATGGTGGTTACATTTCGAAGTGCTGCTGTTTTGGGCGCTAGAAAAATGTTTTCTTTGACTCCACATGAACCTCTTTGCTCTTTGTGTTGTGTGTAGACTGACTCGGGCTCCATGTTAAACTGTGATAACATCATTGTCACTGCGGCTGTTGTGTTATCAGTTTTTTTTGTGTAAACAGAGGCTGCTTGGGCTTAAGGCTGTCATGACTGTTATGCACAGCCGTGCTCCTAGAAACATTTCTATTGTAAATATGTTTTAGCCGCAGATGTGGGTGACACGCTTGCATTTACATGTTGACAACTGAGCTCTCCAGTCATGCATTAAATGAAGCATCAACTCCTCCTAAAATCTTTGATAATTCTTTTTTCTTTCTCTTTTTTTGAAATAATAAAGGTATTTGAGTAAGTTGATCGTTGCAGCCCTAAAAGTGACTAAGGTTATTTTTCAAAAATCTTATTGTCAAAGAATAACACCAGTTTCATTCTTCTTCATTTTTGTTTTTCTGATTCCAAGTTGAGCTGCAGGGTCCAGCCTCTACACCATTTACTGGTTTCCTATTGCAGGCTAGAGAACTGGGAAGCAAGAGTCCTGTGGGTTCCTTTGCCATACCAGAAGGGGCTGCTCAACTCCTCACCTGCAGCCAGAGAGCTGTGAGTATTCTGGAAGTTAATTTGAGCAGCATGTTTATGTACTGGAACTTAAGTCTGCTATCAGTTTGATGCCAAAGTTTTTGCTGTCATTCTTTTTTTTTAATATATTTATTTTTAAGTTTTCAGTCCCAGTTCCATTTACCGGTATATGCGTTTTTAATTTTAGTTGTTGGATGGTAGTTAAGCTTTAATACTTGAGTTTTATTAATGTTAATTTTATATCCTGAAAGAAAACCATAGTCGTCTAACAATCTCATCACATTTGAAAGTGATTCAGTTGGATTAGTCAAGAAAATCAATATATCATCAGCAAATAGGGCAACCCATGGGGGACCCCTGTTATTTCTACGCTTTGTCTTATATATTGACAAATAGAGAAAACAGAAGTGCGGAAGCTCCACATCCTCGATGGGTTCCTCTTTCTAGACTGTTCTAGACTGTTCTTTCTGCCTGTTGTTTTCTTAACCTTATGACAGAAGTTTTAATGCTTTTCCTCCTGTATCATAGTACCGTTGTTTTGTAAGCAGAAGGTTCTTTTGAACCTCTTCTATATTTATCGCATCTGTCTCCCTCCGTACTTCCTTTATTTTTGTCCTGACTGAGTTACATAGTGAAACTGAGTGTTCTTTCACTAGTTTTATAAATGTACTTTCTAGCTCTTATAGTTTTTTGCTTTCTGCACTTCTTTAGCACAGAGGAGATGGCTATGATCTTACCACGAACTACTGCTTTTAAAGTGGATGATCTGATATCTTCGTGTTGGTGTTGTTCCCACATCATCATAATAAATGTTGTTCAAGGTTCAACATTGCAAGTGATCGATCACCTTGTTGTGACGTAATACTTTTGCAAGCCAAGTGAGTCATTCATTTATGAAATTCCAATGTTGCAAGGACAATATGTATAATACTTACCGTTTATTAAAGAACAGTATCCTGAAATGCAAAGAATTCAGAATTTTGCTGGATCGGCAGACAGAGGCGGTTTCTCGCAAGTTAAGTACTTTTTTTTTTTTTTACGGCGTTTTTTTCCAAAGTTGCAAAAGTATGGCGTCACAACAATGTGATTGGTCATGATGATGTGGGAACAACACCAACACAAAGATATCAGATCATGCTTTTAAAGCATCCCATAGTGTTACTTTTGAAACCTCACCATTATCATTATATTCTAAATAAGATTGAATTTCTAATTTCAAAATGTCTTTAACTTCAGTTGTATTCAGAATGTTTGTATTTATCCTCCAGATGGTAGATTTTGTTTCATTGTTTATATTAAGTGTCAAATACACAGGCTCATGAGCTGAAATGGTACAGGTATCGATGACACATTAAAACAATAACCTGTACCTGTTGCTTTTAAACATCAGGAAAAAATCAATTCGGGAGTAAACATTGTGTGCTGAGGAATAGTGGGTATAATCCCGTACAGTAAGGTTATGTTCCCTGCACATATCTCTGTTTCAAATCTCCATATTTTGTCTCCTTCTTCTGTCTTTGTTTCTGTCTTCATTTATTTTTTTGTGCTATTTGTATTTATATGTTCTATTTCTATTGTATATATTAGTCGGCATCTATGGGTGGACAACAAAAAAAGAATTTCATTGCACGGAGAAATGCCTTTTCTTGTGTGACACATGACAGTAACATCTTGAATCTCCATATATCCACTATTCCAAGCTCTTTCATGTAATTCTTAACCTTTTTACTAATGCTTTTAGTATTTGTCCTCCCATTAGAACTATCCATTTTAGGATCCAGTCTTATGTTAAAATCACCCCCACATATTGGGCTTTGGGTTGTGAATAGCTCAAGTATCTGTTAGTAAAATCCCCAGTTGCTACCTGGAGGCATATAAACATTTAGCAGACTAACTAAGACTCCATCTATTTTAACCCTTAACCATAGTGTATCTTCCCTCCTTATCTTTGTGGTCGGAAATGAAATCAAAATTAACTTTATTGGAAAGCAAAATTGCTACCCCTCTACGCGAGGAAAAATATACCTTGGAGTGTCCCATTCTGTTTAATTTTGTATGTTCACTATCAGTGAGATGAGATTCCTGTATATATGCTATCTGAACCTTAGTCTTTGTCAATTGCAATAGCATGTTTGCTGTTTTAATTGGATTAATTATGCCATTTATATTCAAAGAGACAAAAATTATAGGCCTACTAGACATCTGACTGTATTACAACCACAAAATCTCTGGTACTCTTCCCTTTTCTGCTCAGAGCAGCAATGTATAACAACATACAACAAAACACCTAACAAATGTGGCTGAGTATAGAAAATGTGCAGCATTGTGCAGGAGAGAACATATGACTTACGTGTCCTATATACAGTGTCATTAGTTTTTGTGACAAGTTAATTAAAACTATGCAGCAAGGTATATTGTGTTTGGCATGTCACTTGCACTCTCTCTCCCTTTATGCAAATGTGTGTCCAGAACTCGGCTGTGTCCCACACATCAGGCTTTAATAGCAGCTACGTTCAGGTGACATGGAGATCAGAACCATCAAGAGACATCAAAGCTGTTCATTTCTGGTAAATGGTCTATTAATTACATTTTATTTACCAAATCATAACAACAGTTGCCTCAGGTGCTTTATATTGTAAGGTAAAGACCCTACAATCATACAGAGAAAACCCCAACAATCATCACTACTATTAGCAAGATCTTTGGCAACAGTGGAAAGGAAAAACTCCATTTTAACAAGAATAATTTCATTGTCTGCCTTGCTCAAATTAGCAAAGCACTTTCATAAAGCTCAGGTGTTTAGACCCCAGTTCACACTGGTTTTGGTGTCGCTGCAGTGCATCCTTTGTGCAGAATTCTACAACATTTTGGATCAATGTGACGAGCCCTGTCCTGACCTTCACTAACGGCAGAGCTGCTAGATCTGCAGGTGCCCTCACTACATCCACTGACAATGGCAGTTTACAACCTGGATCACTTGTTGTAAGTAACAATGTCTGTTTTGAACATAGTTTGGTTGGCAGTTTCATCCTACAAATGGACTGATTTATTATCTGTTGGCTTAGAGGCTGATGGAAGTCTACCATCTTCTGTATTCTGCAACTCCTCTGGGACTGAGCAGCTCAGAAAATAGAGCAGGTTGTCTGCTTAGGTTTTGGTGGTTCACTCACCAGTTTCTCGAGTCTGTACGTCACAGTGCATGTGTGTGAATGGTTATAAGGACCAGTTTATTAACTACAGTGGTCTCAAACTTAAATGAGCTGTGGGCCACTGCTGACACTGTCATCTCATGTGAGGGCCAATTTAGTGTTCAAGTAGCACAAAAACAAACAAACAAACAAGAAAATGCCCACAAATATTTCCGAAAATGTAGCATTTTGTTTTTAAAATTTCCAATATTGTATAACAAGACAAAACTGCAAATGTGAATGCATTTTTTTCTCACTTTTACCAAACTGAAGCCTTTCATTGAACTACCAAATAAACAAATTGGTACTCTCTTTCTGGCCACACGCCAGATTTGGTGATTTGGTGCCGTATAAATAAAAAAAATAAGATTACACAGTATATTCAAAATGATGATGCCAAAGTTTTCTCTTCCTGTGTGTGCAGAAATCAGCTGGACCCATCTCTAGTGCTGACTGTGGGGTCACCAAGGTGTGCTTCAGTCAGCCTTCAAACTGTGACCCAGCAGTCAGTGCTAGCTGTTATTTCATGTCAGCCAAGATGTTAGCCGGTGGTGAAGCTGTCCACTTTGAGATGACTGGTCCTTATGAAGGATATATTGCTTTTGGATTCTCTGATGATCAAAGAATGGTAATATTAAGACAAAATTATCAGTCCCTTGAAATTAAAGTTAGGTTTTTGTTTATTTGTTTGTTTTTTAAGCAATAACAGCAATAAGCCTCTCGGTGTATTTGTATTTAAGAGCACCTGTTGGTGAAAAGCTGCTGTATCGCAGTCATTGTTCACTTGCCTCCAATTTGCATATTTCCTATAGGACTAATAAAATATTCTGATGATTCCCACCAATTTTGTGAGCAATGCTAAATCATTCACAACTTGTAAAACATGCTAATTCATTCCAAATTTGTCTTTCCCCAGGGAAATGATGACATTTACGTTTGTGTTATGAAAAGCAATGGACAAGTTGAGGTGGAACATATGTATTCAACGGGACGATCAAAGCCACAAGTTCTTCCTCTGGTACTACATTTTTTTGTGATAGCAGCGATTTATACAAGGCTAGAATGTTTCCATTCAGTTCTGTGGAAAAAGTAAACTGCATGTGTATTTTTTGTGAATTCCATCTTACTCCATAAATTACATCTGAGATTTATGTGTGTTTGTTTCCAACAGGGGAATGTTTATAATAGAACAACGTCATTGCAGAACAGTGTCATCAGTTGTGTCTTTACTACCACAAACACAATTTCTATTGAGGGGACTTCTGGTTTCAACCAGTCTTACTACCTCTTGTTTTCCTATGGACCCAGCAACAATGGTAACATAATTTGATGTGTCAGATGGTTTGTTACACCAAACAAGTCAGTCTTTTACACTGTTTGGAAAGGTCTCTTTCAAATGATACTTTGCAGGTGATCTAATAAGCACGTGTTTTTTATTGTTTACAATTGTACTCCAGTAAATACTTTTACTTGGAACGGTTATGCAGGGCCTTTGACTGTGGTTCCTTTTCCAATAATGTAAAAAGTGTCAAATGAGTTCACTTTTAATACCTCTGTCTCTACCAGTTTATGAAAATGAAACTTGTTTCATAGGCATGCAAAGCTTAGTCTTTTTCCTTAAAAGGAATCCTAACCCAGCTTGTATCTAAATAGTAGATTACAAACTTGCACCTACTCATGCATTAGCTATTAGCTGAATGTATTATATGCACATAAAGCTGATGCCTTTTGGCCATATTCACTCTCACCTTTTTTTTTTTTTTTTTTTTTTTATTCCAACCAATGGGGTTTTTTTTTCTAGGCATGTTACACTTTTTCTTTTTCACATCAAGTTCAATGTCAGACTATTTCCTTTTATGTATTATTCACTCATGAATCCCACTTTCAATTTATGCCACCACAAGAGAGAGATTGGTTGTGGTATGTGGAAACGTATTCATAGCTTATTCTGTGAAATTTAAATGTTGGTATGGTTAAATGTTATCCTGTGTGACACTCACACATGCATACACATATACAAGTGTCTGTAAACTTTGATATATCTTTCCTACAGGATCAATAAGAATCCATATGGGTACCTTCACCAGCAATAAAAGGATCAATATTAATAATCCCCTTGTTGTTGACAAAGATGATGTTCCTGATATCATCAAAGCTCATGGTAAGACCTTGCACAAAGTGATACGTGTAAAATAAAAATGTTTTTTAGTCCAAAATAATCTCAGCAAAGTCCTTTGTCATTTTTTGCTAAGCTGTTCACAGCTAAATGATTTGAAAGTCCTTGGAAGATAAATGCTACCAGGAACGTCATTTCATTTGTACTTTTAGCACGATTAAAGTGTTTAATCTATAATACTGAGTAGACTTGCAGTCCTTTGAACTGCACATGTTTCACAGACACAAGTTACACAAACAAGGAACCAAAACAGTGGATGAGGTTGGACACATTAGATGGGTGGTCTCTTAACAATAACTGTCCTTTTTCATGAGACAAGGATATGCAAAACAATAATTTATAACAATCTTCAGATGTTTGAAAACTAATAGAATTTTGAAGATGTGAAAAACATTTCTGTGCCGCTTTTCTGCTAATGGTATACCTGTAATTATGGCAATGGACTCAGTTTCTTGGCCCAAGGTTGCTGTTTGGCTGCTCACTGTCATATTACCTTTGCTCTGTTGACTCATTAGTTTAAATCCAGAATTTGATGACTACTGTCAAATGTTTCTGCTCTAAATTTTTAGTCAGTTGACAGACCACATGTTTACTCCAGGGGAAGAAATTCATCTTAACTCCTAAAACAAAGAGAAGTGGAGAGAATTTCAATATTTAACTGTGTTTCAGGATCACTCATGCTGATTGCCTGGATGACCACAGGATCACTCGGCATGATGGTTGCCCGATATCTAAAAAAAATGGCCAAGGGAAAAAAAATGTGCGACAAAGATCTCTGGTTTATGGTGAGACATCATAGACAAAACCATGTATTATCTTTTCAATGTGGAACCAAAGTTTTTGTAAACTAAACTAGGCTTGAAAATAACTTAAACTTGGTGTGTTTCCAGAATTAATTTCATGACTAAAAATATTAACTTCATAAGTAATTTCAGATATCCAATCCAATCCAAGATATAATAGACTTGTAAGACAGCTTGGTCCAAGCCTAATGTTATGTGGACAAATGTATTGGTTTAGCTGCCACAGTATCATGCTGTATTCTTTGTGTTCCTCCAGGTCCATGTTGGAGTAATGTGTCTGACGGTAGCAGCCACAATCATTGCTTTCATCCTTGTGTTCGTTCATTCTCAGGACTGGTCTGGGGTTAGTACACTGACTCTGCTAGATTCTAAGAATCTTAGTTAAGTTATGGTTTTGTACTATTCATTACAGCGACAATCAAATGATAAAACTGTGTTTCTCTGTAATAATATTTATTTTCTTATTTATTCCAACTAAATTTTATGTGTTGTTCACACAGAATTGGGGGTAATTGTTTAATACAAATTGTTGATTATATGAATGCAAATACCCTCCAAATTATGTTGCAACATTTAGATTTCATTTAATCCCAGTTTTTAAACCCTATATTTAAGTACAAATTTATTTGTATAGCACTTTTCAAGATCATTTCTGCAAAGTGCTTCACAATCAAAATAGTTAAGTTCAAAAGAACCCCAAACATTCCTCATTGAAGATTTAGTTGATATTGCGTGGACATCAAGAGTTTTAATTACATTAGGCACAAACAAGGACTTTGTTTTCTGTTTGAAGAAAATTATCAGCCATTCATTTTTTTTAAATAGTCCAAACAAGACCTGTTGCTTAGAAAGTGCAAAGAGTGTGTTTATACACCACTTTGCATTTAATCCTTTGTTACTCTCTGGCTCTCGTCCATAACATTTTGCATGTCGTGTCTCCCCATCACCTCCAACCAGTTGCAGCAGATGGCTGCATCACCTGAGCCTGGTTCTGCTGGAGGTTTCTAACAGAAAAGAAGGGAATATTTCCTTCCCACTATCACCAAAAGCTTGCTTCCACCAGTTGTAGTAGTGATGCAGAAACATTATGCCTTTTGACAACCAATCCACATATGAACAGGTTCAAGAAAAAATTTGAGGGATAAATGGAATCTGTGGGCTGCATCCAGTTAGTTTCACTTTAGTTTTTTATAAAACAGTCATCTCATGGTGCTTTACATTAGAAGGATGAGCCAAGGGAGTTTAATATAATTCAACTTAATATGAATGCGATAACCATACCAACCAGGTATGGACCCCTCCAACCCTTGGCTTTGGTGTGCAGAAACAACTCCCGTGTAACAGTAGGACCCTCTGGCAAAACCAGACTGAAGGAGGACGATCATCTCCAGCTTTTGGTTGTGATGTGATTGTAGAAGAGAATAGCGACACCATGTAAAACCTAAAGGACAAAATGCAAACTATGGAGATGACAAAAAGTTGGTGCATATTTATAAGCCAATATTGCAAGTCATTAAGACAAAAGGCAAGTGGAGCAGAAGTGCCCCTCATGGGAGGTACATCTAGAAATGATTAGTTCTCATGGTACTCTCAAAGGTACTTGTACTTTTCACTCTGGGGTTATTTGTGGAGGCTTTACCTTCACTTGGGTAGTAGAGCAAGTCATCTATCAAACAGAAGGTCCATAGATCAATCCTCAGCTCCTCCAGTCTGCAAGTTGCATCCACAGGCAAGATTAATATACCCCTTCAAAGTGTTTTTTTTTTTTTTCTTTTCTCTTGATATTCATTAAGCACTCTTTAGTTGTGTGTTTCAGCTCTCAGACTGATATTTATGCCCCATGATTAGCACTGTTAATGTGTTTGGTATCCAGGGAGCACATCCAGTGTTGGGGTGCCTGGTTATGATCCTCTCACTCATCCAGCCTATCGGGGCCTTGCTGCGCTGCGGACCACAACATCACCTGTATGTATCCATCTGTGTGTGTTTAATTAATATACTATATCATGCCTATACACATTTAAGAATACTCTGTTCAAATATTATTTAAAAAAAATTAAAAATGGCCTCACTTTTTTTTTTCTCTACAATTATTTAACAAATTTTGAAAACACGATAAACCAAAGGAATGGGGCAGTACATGCTTAATGACTAAATGCACTGCTCACTCGGCAAAGTGAGGTTATAAAGTTATTTGATAACCCTAAGAGTTGTTTTCATACTTCAGCCATAAAAGTTTTTAAAATTTCAAACTTTTGCAAAGTGTAGCCTGCATGTGCTTTATCAGAGCACACTTTCACACTGAAACACCAAGTAGGAAACTAATTTGCACATGACTCGTGAAAGTTATTCCTTCCTCTTAGTAATAATGGTACTTTTAATAAATATAGCCTGGTTGTAGCTTTGGAGGCCAGACTCAGTAAATGAAATATTTTTTAAGTGAAATATAGATTTAGTAAAATTGTATGTTCAGTAATGATACTTGTTTTCATAAATTGGATGCAGGAGAAATCTTAGACAAGAACTTCAGAAGCTGATGATTTTATAGTTCTTCTCTTTTCTTTGATAGGAGGTATCTGTTCAACTGGACACATTTTTTAAATGCGGTGGTAATAAAATCTATAGCTGGTAAGCTTGTGTTTTACTTCATTCTACCATCTTGCATATATGCTAACATTTTCAATAGCAGACACACTGTCACCCATGCTGCTCGTCTTAAAATGCCTGCTTCTTTGTGTCACACAGTGGCAGCCATATTTACAGGCCTGGACAGGATTGACAGTGATGATGGGTGGCTATTGAAAGTGATGGGTGGCTTCTTTGCCTGGGAAGTTCTCTTCATCATCATTTTGGAGGTCCATGATTGGGTAGTTAAACACAGAGGTAAGCCTTTTTTTTTGCATTTCAGTGATGAAGGAAAAAATCATCACTACCCATATACACTTTAATGACAAAAACCAATCTAGACCCAACAGTCCATTTGCACGGTGAAGAGCCACCTGATCAGTTCAGCAGCATTTAGCTGACTGAGCGAAGAGTATAACCCCTGTACACCTCAGAATGTGGTTGGATGGGTAAAATAAACAGCACTGTATCACAAGATTTTCTGTGTATAATACAGCAGCATCAAATATTGGTATTTATGAATTGATGAGTGAAAACGCGTAAGAATGTCTCAATGGTAGTCTGCTGGAACAAAAGCTGTTACACTTTAACTGTGCTGAAGTACAGCGACAAAGGAATCTTTATCTTTCGATTTATTAAATGCATGAAAATACTCTGGGAATACTATACACGAAGGCTCAGCTCATGCACCACCAACCTAATGTTATCAGAGAGAACTTGCATTGAATTGTCTCAACTGAGACTATCCAATTTTGGACACGTGTAGTTTGACAATGCTGTGGCTCAATGTGTGGCTCAGTCACACAAATTATTAAAAAAAAA